TCGGAGTGCTCACCGCTGTCAGCGGAATATCACTCGCTCACATGAGCAATTGGTAATACCCATCGACCAAATCGAGTGCACTTTACTTTGTACATCCCACCATGTTGTTCTAAAGAACATTGAGGTTCTTCGAACCATCGCCCCAATCTGGTTCGTCGCGGGGGAACGACACCACTCAGTAGGCGCTGGGCGACCTACTGGGGAAGAACTGAGTTTTGTTGAGCCTCAGGGGGGCATGGGTCAACAATGCTCAGCCCCGAAGAGCTCCGTACTCTTGAACACAGAACGTGTATGCATGCTGGGCCTGCTGGTCGTCGAGGCGATTGTAAAGGGCTTCAAAAAGCCATGGAAAAACCTCATCGATTCCGGAGCGTTGGGCAATTATGCTCGACGCTCCACGATGGAGGAAAACAGCTGTATGCTGAGGCGCTGAAAGCGCGGCTGGGTGACATCGTCACTGTTCGCTTAGCGATGGGGAGACGTGTCACGGTCCCGTTTCATGATCTTCATGGATACCGATATTCCAGCACTGATGAATTTTCACAATTGCAATGTAGATTTCATACAAATGTACCAAAATGTGGGGGGTAAAATACACAAGAATACAGTCTAACCCAGTCCCAGGTCGCTTATGATAAGCGTCTGGGTCTTTAGGCGCAGAAACGGGAATTATCTCTACAAGATAATCCCACATTTTGTCATGCACCCGACGGACCATCAATGCACTGGGAGCGGAACCAAGATGATCTCAAGTATCTTGTACAGTCTTTGCGCTAACTTAAGATTATGGTTTTTGGAACTAAAATTAATCAAAGCTACTTAATGTATGTGCGATACTTACGTACTACATATAGTGTTGATCACTGTTCATAACAATATCACGACACGAGCTTTTTAAAGACATCGCGCAAAAAGAACGTTCAAGAGCTTCCACTTTGCATCAAAGTTATCGTTGTCACTTCCACCTTTTACTGTCTGCTCTTGTGAGCATTTCATGCATCGAGAGCCCACCCCCATCCTAGGTAAAGATCCCTAGGTGTTCCCGAGTGGGAGCAGCCACAGTAACTCTTCCAGTTTCGATCAGGTGCCTTTATCTTCATCTTGAGATATAAGACAATTATTCACTGTAAAAAATTTCACCCCTCCTTTGCACGAATGCGCACTCTGTGTCCTTCAACTAATTTGGAATATATCACGAGACCTTGGGCGGGACTCATGACGCATCCAGCTTGTTACCAAGATGCTCAGCCTGGCTAGCCAGTCGATTTTCCTGTCTTCACGCGGAAGAAAGGTAAATGAGTCCATCAAACTTTGCAAGACATGATGTTAGATATATATCATCAAAAAGTATTTCTCCACGCCAAGGTACCCCATGTGCACACGTATCCGCGTATACGTTCGACTAAAACAGAGAGAGACGAGCGCTAAAATTATGCGAACGTTTTCTGATCCGTCACATCTCTATTCCGTAGGAGTATCTCCAACGCGTGAAGCATTAGTGGTCGAGCAGAACGGTGTGTTCCATTGCGTACTGAGCACTGGCGAGAATTCAACTAAATTTTGTGAAGCAAGCAAAACTGAATACGTTTATCGAGTGCTTAATTATGAGTTGAGCTGCCAAAACAGGGCATAATCACCAATGTAAAACTCATCACCTCATTTTCTATTTATCACCCTACTACTCTCCATAAGCTTGCTTGCATAGCTATCTGCCATATTTCAAACTATACACTTGATAGTGAAAAGCGCATTGCGCTGAGCTATACTGCCTTTTCTATCGAGAAAATAAAGCAGATGGTACGTCAATTCGTTAGTGGCGGTGGGGCCAGCGCAATCTCTCCGAAGTAAAACCACCGGCCCACGCGTTTTTAGTGAAAGTTTTGTATTACTTGGCCAGATTCTGGTCACAGCCCTGGAGACCACTATTTGCTCCACTAAATCTTGGGCCAGTGACGGGATAAGAAATACACTTCAATGTTGGCTCTTGTGAACCATTTCGATTATGGCGACACATCGTATTCTTCCTAGAGGACTGATACGCTGCAGCGCAAGTCCGTGAGCGTGATCCCCGATTGACACTAAAGCACCCTAGGTACTTCTGTCATACCGTACGAGGCTCGCGTGTCTTAGACACCGCTACGCCCCCAGGGCTTTCTGCATGCATTATCTGCTCAATGAGCCTTGTGTCTAGGATACGAAAGACACCCAGCCTCACTGGTTCCAAGAGCGACCGCGGGCAGATCCTTTCTTCGTCTCCTGCACGTCCGCAACTTGAAGGAAGCACATTCAAGCCCACAGCAACCGAGCACAGCACCCGTCACGGTAGACGGATTACCTCGTCATAGATTTCAATAAAGTCGACTACGAGTCGGATGCACCTCCTAGAATGGGAAGATGAAGTAGGCGAGGTATGCTAGCGGCGCGACGTGAGCTCTGCTCGAACCTTGCGAATACCGTGTCTGGTTCCCGACCTCTCGACTTCCTGGGAAGTGGAAAGTATTACCAATCGTCTCCACAAGGCACAGAAGCAGCAGCGGGAGGCTGCCCACAGGGCGGCTCTCATGTGCTCACATCCATGGTCGGTCCTAGACCTCGTGTGGAATGCGACTTCCACTAGGTGGATCCCGCTAATGAAGCGAAGGATGCGATCACCGATCGTTTAAGGCTGAACTGCACTTGACCAGTTAAAAGCTCTCCGAGCTCGCTTCTTGATACCTCAACAAATCCCAATGGATAGGTACCGTGCTCGAATTCGTGCTCAAAGCGGAGGCACTCCTGTACCCACGAGACGTACGATTTCTGTGGTTCTCATTCCTGGCAAACCGCTGCAGATGATGATGAACTCCGAGTGATAGGTGCAACGGCACCGAAAACTTTCCTCGCTGTCCAACATACAGCGGAACCATAAGGATGTGGATGTGCGCGTGGAACGCCATCTTTGTTTCGAGTTTGCCAAACTCATGGCGCAACGCCGACTTCCTTCGAATTGTCGCCCGGCGACGTATGTATTAATCCATCACGCTCCCTCGATCTATGTGGTCTCTGACACGTGATGGTCTTGTGGACAGTTTAAACAAGATGGCTCATCTTGCAGCAGTACCGGGCAACATCGACGGTGTGGGTACAGTGATGCTGTTTGTGGATCGTATCTTTCGACAACATGGACCCCCGGGGTAAATTGTCTCTGTTAGGGACCCGCGCTACACTACGAACTTTTGGTCGACAATCTTCAGAGTACTTGGACACCAAGTTGACTATGTCAACAGCGCACCTTCCGCAGACGAATAGTCAAACTGAGCGCGAAGATCGCGCGGTTGAAAGATGTTATTCGCAGCGTCTGCGCTGAGATGCCGAAGCGCTGGAGGGCCGTGCTGCCACTCGTAGAGTTTGGTCTGAACAATGCAGTGCATTCGTCTACCCACTTCATGCCGTTCTATGTGAAAGGGCTTGCGAATCCTCGCGTCCTGCTGACACCGCCATCCTATGGCTCAGGGCTTCGTGGGGGAGGAATAGCCGAATGGCTAGCTGATGTCATCCCCCCTCACCGTCCGTAAAGAAGTCTGAGACTTCATGTCTACCAGACTGAGTGTCTTACGACAGAAGAGAAGAGAACATAGAAATGTAAAAACATTGAGGTCGAAAACCTGGTTTTATTAAATGCATATAACCTTGCTAGACATGTCGTTTCTGCTGTCATTAAGACGAAACTCCATCCACGCTTTGTAGAACCTTTTAAGGTCGTGGCCAAGCGAGGCCTAGCGTATACACTGAACCTTCCGAGAAGGATGCGCACCCACCCGATGTTTTTTGTGGGCTTGCTAAAGCCGTATCGGGATCCGGCGCGAGTGAACGCGGAAGCGTTGGCGCTGGGGCGGCGCCCAAAGGCGTTTTTACACCCAGAAGTTGAACCAGCAACTTCTTCTGAGCATGAGGTGCAACATTTCCGTTTTCAACGGCGCAAGGCGCTTTACCGTCGCACGAAGTGACGTATTCGCCTGCTCGACGGCTAGGAGTCGCTCCGACAGAGCTCGATAATCCTCAAAACGTTGTAGTTGGTGCACAAAGCGCTTCAGACGTTCGAGGTCTTACGCACGGTGATGGGCGACCTCGGAGAGACGCCCGGCATAGTGCCGATGACGACGGACATTGTTTTTCAGCGCTCGAAGAGCATCGCGAGTTACCGGACGGCGATTGACCAAGTCGTCACCATCCGCTGCCGACTATTCTCGATGAGAATGGTGGCGTCCACAACCACGTGGTACGCCTTGTGGGTCGAAGTCATCGACGGGGTTTAACCCAATATCTTGTGAAGTGGCGGGGATCCAAACCGTGGTGTCACTTCGGCAAGACTGCCCAGACGTCGAAGACGCTTATGATCAGAAGGATCACTACGCTTCGAGCTGTCGTGTGCCCCGCGTTTCGTAACGGTAGCCCAGGAAGCCGGAGGGCCATAAGCCGAGCTCAAGCTATGGCCTGAGCTGCTGTGGTCGTAGACTCACCCGTGTGAAGAACCACAGAGCTCGCGGGAAAAGATGAATAAATTCATGTGTCGCAGGGCCTTAATGTGCAGGAACGCGGCGTTGCGCAATGAGTTTGGCAAACTCAAATCGGAGGTGGTGCTCAACGCGCAGTCCACTTCCTTGTGACTTTGCTGTGAGGTAGACAGCGAGGAAAGTTTTCGGTGCCGCTGCACCCATTAGTCGAAGAGCTCCTAATCATCTGCAGAGGTATCGCCGGGGACGAGCACAGGTACAGGAGTGCTTCCTTTTTGAGCTCGAAGTCGAGTGCGGTACCCATCCATTGGGAGATCTCGAGGTATGAAGAAGCGAGCTCGGGGAGCTTTCCGCTGGTCAAGCTCAGCTTGTGTAGTGGTCGGGGCCCCGACTACGTAGACGCCTAACAATCAGTTGATCGCGTTTTCTTGCTTCAGTAGCGGGATTTGCCGAGCGAAAGCCTTATTCCCCACGAGGGTTTAGGACCGAACGCGCATTTGAACCACCCTGTGGACAGGCTCCAACCGCTGCTTCTGTGCCTCGTCAGGGCGATTGGTAACAATACCAATCCCCCTGGAAGCCGAGAGGAGAGGTCGGGGGATAGAAACGGTGTCTTCAAGGCTCGAGCTGGGCTCACGTCGCGCCATTGGCGCGCTTCATCCTCATCGGCATCTCATGCTGGGTTAGAAGTGTCCAACTCGTTGTCAACTTCCTCCAACTCTTCGACGAGGAAATCCGTCCCCCGGGACAGGCGTGTGTGGTGGCGCTCGGTTGCCGAGGGCTTGGGATGTGCTTCCCGTGAGGTCGCGGACATATCGTTCGGAGATACGGTCCGTGCAGAAGAAGAAGAAGTACCAGCTAGGCTGTTTTTCGTATCATAGACACAAGGCTTATTGAGCGGAGAATGTTCAAGGATGTTTTAAGAATGTAATGCGGTATCAAACACGCGAGCCTCAAACGAGGTGACAATTAAATGTGAATTGTGGGTAGCTACAATCTTGATGGGAAAGCGTGTAACAGGGTCCCACGAACCCTTGTATGAAAGGACGGGTCACACAAGATGACGTGACCGTATATTGGTGGGAATCACACAATTTGGTGTAATCAGAAAATGGTGTGGCTACACCGTTACAAGAAGCCACTACGTGGCAGGATCTCCAATCGTTATGCATTTGACTTAAGTTGTACTGTTTAATTAGAAAAAAGAAAGGTTTTCGATTAGGGCGGCTCCGCAAATAAAACAAATAAATAAAGTTTCAATTTTGAACAGAAGAGTTTATTTGCTACGGTTAGGGCTTTGGTACTCTTGGAGGCAGCGGATTGCGATCCGCTACACTCATAATGGTTCTCGCGAAGAATGTAAAGTCGGTGTACCATAGCTTATATTTCTCTAAGCAGAGAGCTACGGCAGTCCCGCTACAATTCCATTGACTGCATAGCAATCTTCTACATGCCAAAATCGGGAAGGACAAATTTAGCAGATGTGTAAGCGATATATGATTGTATCATACAGCAATAGAGAACAGGCTTGTTTGGACAATAGAAATCATTGATAAAGAAATAAAAGTAGAGATACACAAGTCTTGAGGCTTGCGTCTCAAAAGGATAGGTAATCGCGGATAAGCTTGGATCAAGGAAAGAATCTTGGTTTACTAGGGGTTCAAAGCCTCAAATGAGGTAAAGTTGCCGGCTGAAAATGAAAACCAACAGATGTATAGAACATGCAGTGCGCGCGGCCGAGCGAAGGCTCTGTGGTGCACAAAGGTACCAAAAGGCACATCAGCTCACAACATAGTTTTGAAGCCGGCACAAAGGATTCCGAGGTGCATATGAAAAACGAACAACATGTACATCAGCCAGTGTGAAGGAACAAATTAAGTTGGACCATCGTTAACTTATGTTGCTGGAGCTACTCAGATTCGCAGCTGATATATGCCCTAGGGAGTCAAACAGAGGTGGTTTCGACGCGATGGGCAGCGCAATATTCTAGAAATTCATGAAACAAACTTAGTTGTTAGCGTCGGCCAAGCAAGCCGAGCTGAGTCAGCTGAGCTCAGCTGATCAAATGGGAACTTCTAGGTTGCCTGGGCAATTTGCGAGCGAAATTTTTGTGTTGAGAGGTCTATGAAAATGGATATGGATAATCATGTCACCAGAAAGCTAAAATCTGAATAGGACTCATCAAGCTTAAGCTAATTTTTTTTTAATTAATTCAGTTTATATGCGACTTAGGTACGAAAAAGCATCCTATAGCCAATGTACTTCGCATCACGAGAAATGGTAACGGACCTGTCGACGAATGCACTGATGAAGCCAGCTTGCAAGAAGTGTAGCCAAATGTGAGGGCAAGTATTGTATGATGGGTTTGTTTCAGGTACATTATTGTCACTGCTGTCTCTCGGATTTAAAGCAAGCTTCGAAGTACAACATTATTTTTTTGAAAGTACCATGGTAAAACTGGTCCACATGACGACGAAAGAACTTCGTGAATGAGAATTCTATGGGACACATAGGCTACCAGCTTCACAAAATGGAGTCCTGGGATTGGAGTAAGGAAATAAAACATTTTGTGCTTTAGCTGAATTCTTTTCTAATTCTCAGAATATATCGACTTATAGTAAATAGAGCAAAACAAACTACTGGATACTTGAGAGGCGCTGGGTTCGGCGTTTGGATGGCGCTTTGTTGGCCTTAATGCGTAGAGGCCGGGTACATATATGGGCACTTGCAACGAAAATTTTATAGATGAGTCCATCTCAATCAAAAGGGTCAATTTGTGGAGTTTTGCACCATACAGCTATCCAATTAAACATTCTGACCCCCATCAAGGAAGGCGAGAGTTGGCGGACTCTATTAATGGTTGCAGACTTTCATCGTCGCAATTGGTCCAAATCCTCTTTTACTGTTTCTATTTTTCTAAAGCGTCTTCGATCAGGTACGGCTTGCACCAAGACCTTCCGCGCCAGCCACTATTTTTTTTAGGAAAACGGGTGCCGCGTAATTGCAGGACACATTTTTCGTGCCGCGAGCGCCAATTGGGGTGTGAGATGTGGTAGTCTGTTGGTGCAGCTACTGACACGTCTCAAATTCAAAGCAAGTCTAGACCATTTCTGATGGGTAGCAAGTTGCTCTTCTTGGTTCAGCGGAGGTAGCGATATAGGGTGTGCCATTTTCACAAAAATTAGCTTTACCACGACAATTTTGTCGAATCGGATCCTTACCTGCCTTATTGGCGGTGACCCTTTTGCTTCACCAAATGTTGGACATTCTTGAGTTCCATACGGACGCAGGCCTCACTTCGGGCTATTTCAGCTCTAACAGCACGCAACTCTCTCTGTGAGTCTCGATGAGGTATCGGTTCTTTTCTAACTACGCCGTCTGAAAAATGGGCATAAGGCCAGAACTTGAATCTCCATGGCGCCAAATACCGGTTTTGTTGTGTTGGCAAACAGCTCATCAAGCACTGATAGCTCTCAAATGTATTGCATGATTTGAATGTACAAATCAGACTTTTTGTGCTTTGTGCTTTGGCAGCTATGAACATATTATAATATAGGTTTCATCCAAATGTTCAAACACCTGATCCAACACACAGATGGACATCGTCGGTGCGTATGACAGCCCCTGAAGTTTAGCCAGCCAACTCGCTCGAAAACCACGCTGCAACGATGGAAAATCGCAGGATCTCATATGCGTTGACGATACCCAACATGTAGATCGGGCGCGCTGAACAGGCAGCAATCTACCTTGCTGTTTTGTCGATCATTCATTCTGAGAATCATCGGATACGCCCAAACGGTGACTGCAGTTAACGTATTGTACTAATGCACTTTTGGCAATTTTTGTTCATCTTTCCTACGAATAAGTGAAGATCCAGCCTTCTCTTTTCAAAACTCGCTCGGGCGCTTACACGAAAAAATGATGCTTTATCCTTTTGACGAATTTTGAAATATTTGATACCTCTTTTTCAAATAATTTACGGTGAGCATTTGATCTTGGGGAATCCCTTTGCGGTCGTTTGTCACCACGCGCGGATCCTTGACTATAGCCATTCCAGTCCTCGCAATCTCTGCCATTCGAATGACGTTTATTGTAGCCTCGTCCATGACAGGTGATGAGTTTAGCAAATCCTCCCGTACTACTATTGACTCATCCGTTTAGCAAATCTTGCACCCCCAACGGGTGATTAAGTATTTTTTATGAAAAGTGTGGACTAAGGCAGGGAAGGTAGATCAACCCCCCTAGGACGGGGTAGAACCTTATATTCCCGAGTGAAAATTGTTGCTCGGCACAAACTCGCGGAATTACTACGCTTCGCACGGTGGGCACGTCACTAGGGTTTGTGGGTCAAGTGACACTGCATATCGTGCCAAGGATGAGTCATTCTTATTGACAGTCTGACTTGTATATTTCGCTCGTCGACTAACTCCATCCTACTTGCTCTAGAGATCGCGGCACTAAGCGCCTTGATTCGCATCGTGAATTCTCACCCTTGTAACCACAATACACAATTGCTCTGCCAGTAGTAACATTTGAAGACTTATCACCAAACCTCCACTAAAAGAAAAGTTTGTGGATGTCACCGAAGCAAATTTAGGATATGATCTTATGCTGAACTTATGTCTAGGACCAAATAGCGTATTTCGCTATCAAACCGTAAGATAGATACCTTTGACAGTCCTCGTTGAGAGAGGCACGAGTGACATAAAGTGAAATCCGTTTTCTAGGCTTTTCTAGGCTTTTCTAGGCGTTTTCAGTGCTATATATTCTCATTAATCGTGCGCCCTTCGTATTTGCACGACGTTTCTGATCGATCAAATTTTTTTGGGCCGTTTGATGCTCATAGCCTACAGCTACCACCTGTGCGATCCAAACTCCATACAGAACGTACATTTCTTTAGATCTGTATCCAACTGACCTAAGTACACTTAGACCCAGTTCATTCAGAAGGAATCGCTCTTTTTTTACTGAGACTTCAAACTTTTTTGCAAGGCGCTTATACTTTACTCTTCCGCAGAGATACACCATTTATACCACTTAACTAAGAAAGACGACGACACACACTGTGTGTGATTGTTACGCATTCTCGCCGATGCAACATCATTGGGTACCACATTGCAATGAAGTAGCTTTGAGGTCGTTCATTCTCCCCTCGGCATAACTAAAGCACAGCTTTGCTGGCGAGCTCATGAAGCCTCATCCTATTTGTGTTCCGCATTCGATGCAACACTCAACGCCCCAATTGAGCAGTTTCGTTGACGCGAAAGATATCGAGGCAGGCCTGTAAATACTCCTAGTGATGATGGAAACGGTTTTCATTAGACATTTGGTAGTCATCTTGGGTACGAAAGCTCATAATCCAAGGTCCAATTCCGCAAAAAACTCCCTTGACGAATAAATAAAAGATTTGATTAAGCATGTGATAACTGGTTTTGCAGTGATATCTGCCGCTCAGTTCATTACCATGATGGTCGAGTATGTATCGTATGACTAGCTTAATTTCTGCTATTCAGAGACATCTCTTTCGTCGTTGTTTTCGAAGAGCCGACGCTTAGCGAAAGCGGCTTTGTAGAGCAAAACCAGCGACTGATTGAGATGGCCTTCAATTGCCTCACCAGCACAACTTTATAACCAGTGAGAGCCTCCAGACGAGCGGTAACAACTTGCGTTCTTTAAGTTTCCAAATGTGCTATTCATTGTGGACCGACTTGTTCCGTTCGGTTGCTAAGTTACAAAATTGCCACCCACGTCGCAGAATGAAAGATTTGGCTCATCGAGTCTGCATTATCTAACTTATACAGGATGAGGACGCTGCTCCTCCCTTGAGTGCCAAACTGTGAGCCTCCAAACTTATTTGCTCAGATTATAGAGCTCATTGGCAATCCATGTGCTCTACTTTACGTTCGATTGCTAGATAAAAGATTCCACTAAATAATCAACGTCGTGTATTGCATCTGGTGACTTCTGGCTAATAACTGCTTTGAAAATTCTAACTGCGTAGACTTGCTGTATCCACAACGGTGCGAGGTTAAGCGCAAGTGCCAAAAATTCTCTATATGTACTGCTTACGGTTCGCATGATAGCCATACTACATGTTCACTGTGAACATTACTCAACTAACTTTTTAAGTATCCATGGATGTTAAAAAGGGGCTATAAGGTCAGATCGGAAGATGAGGCAGTAAGCATATATTTTCAGACTCACGACTCATTTTTAATAACAAACAATTATAGGTCGTAACCAGCAGTCCGAGGTAGAGACGGTATGCAGACAGCATAACTGTTAAAAAATAAAATCGTTAACGCTAGAAAGGTTTGAGAGTCTTAAGCTCTAGTGGCATATGGCGCACTGCCCGACTGCGCTTACAATATAAAAATTCTTATAAAGCTTGTGTTTGCATGATATCTTCCGGCCAAAATGTATATATTTCGAAACAAGAGTCAATTGGCGTCCTTCTAAGAGCATATGACTAGCACATCTACTTGGAGTACACAGGCACGTACTCAACTACGCCATGCTTGTTAACAATAGTCTTCTTTATATTCCGCAATTGTTTCTTGCTCATGGTCTTGAGTCTGTGCGTCCGTGATATTACTTGTACAGCAGCTGACTTCAGCTCGTTCTCCTTCCGTCGCTTTTCCTTCTCTTCACGTGCCTGACGCTTAGCATCTTTTTCAGCTTGTCGACGCATCTTAATCTCAGTCTGCAATTCCTTGAGATTTTTTAACTTAGAGCGTTGGAGCATCTTCTCCTCCCATGTGGTGCTTAAAACCTTACTTCCTTTGAGACTCTGGGTCGAAAATCGAGTCTTCTGAACTTTCTTCCACACTCGTCCACTTACGGGGCGGCCGCGGGGTGGCTCCGAGGCCTTCACGTTCACGCTGCCGGGCTTCGATGAGCGGGTGGTTGTCATTAGTCTAGCGTCTATGCTTGGGATGTATTTGTATAAATAGTTTACCGAAGGTTGCGCGAAGCACGAACTTGATAGCATCGCTATAAAATTTTGATTAGTACCTGGTTTTACTGCAAATTGGCTAAAGTTTATTAGTTTAAAGCTATAAATAGCACCTCATTTTACGCAAAATGATTAAAGCAGCTTGCTCAAAATATAATATATCGACATTTTGTGAGAAAAATCTAAAAGACGGGATGACAAACACTAATGGCGCGTCCATCACTGAGGCGGCAATCGCCGGTGCCGTATCTGGAGGTAATAGCTAAGCATTAATTTTGCAATTAAAATGAATATAGATTGAATCTCTATCTGCCTGTGTAATCGGTCACTGTTCGTCGGTCTTAGGAATAACGCGGCTAGTCGCTGCTCCATTGGATCTCCTCAAAATTCGATTTCAAGTGCAGCCTGCGCCCATTGGTAATGGTCACGTCGAAGCGAGGTATCTTAGTGTTGCTCAGTCTGTGCGAAGCATTTATGGCGAAGAAGGACTTCGAAGTTTTTGGCGTGGAAACTTGGCGGCCACAGTGCTCTGGGTGAGCTACTCGGCGTTGCAATTTGCCACTTATCGCGGATTGAATCGCTGGTGGGAACAGAGTGAAGTTAAAGACACGATAAATGTCCCTAAGGTCGCAGTTTCTGCCACGAGTGGTGCAGTGGCAGGTGTTACTGCAACTGTACTTACATATCCTTTGGATTTTTTCAGGACAGCGTTTGCTGGTCAGGGGGTGCCGAAAACATTTCCAACAATGTACAGTCTAATGGTGCATATATGGACGACACAAGGTTTTCGTGGATTTTACAGTGGACTTGGTGCAACTGTTGTTCAGATTGCGCCGTACATTGGACTGACCTTTAGCATTTATTCATGCCTGAACGAGATGCAAGAATCACATCAAAAAGAAGATGAAACTGGCGCATGGAAGCCGGTGGCAACAACGCTTTCGTATATCGGAAGTGGTGCTGTAGCAGGGATTGTATCGAAGCTCGCGGTTTATCCACTAGATACAATTAAAAAGCGCATGCAGATGCGCAATGTGCCGCGTTGTGCAAAATACGGGGTGATTCCGATGTACACTTCGAGTTTTTCATGCTTCTATGATGTGCTGCGACGCGAAGGTATGCTAGGACTTTACAAGGGAACAGTACCCGGCCTACTCAAGTCCGCTGTTGCAGCCAGCACGACTTTTGTAACATATGAACTTACTCTCAAAGCTATGCAGCACATGCCGAATAAAAATCAACAGATTTAAAACAGGCCGAATCAGAATGAAAAAATATCTCGAATATCAAGAAGTTTGACAATCGATAAAAGTCACTTGACCGTTGTCTTTACCGTCTATTGTCAAAAACGTGGCTACAGTAAAGCGGCTTTAGCTCCTATGGCATATCAAGTGTATGACTTGGTGCATCCTCAGTTTGAAATTTCAAGTGATTTCGTATCAACTTTTTGAGCACCTTCATCACGTGTCCGCTGTGCAAGTTTGCGTTTTGTCGATGTTTTCAACTCGTGAATTTTTGAGAGGCGCAGAATTTTAATTGTGGTCATTCTTTCATGTTTCCATACAATGAGCAAAGCGGGAAGCGTTTGAAGCACAAGCAATATAGCAATTGCAAATTCAAGTCTGTGCTCGTGCTACTATCACATTTTTCGAACGCGAAAATGGAAGGTCAAGGCAAGATTTGAAGTTTATGATCGAATAGCACTCACTACAAACGCTCGGGTGATCTACTGTGGTTGGTTGGTATCGGTGACAAACAGGTCTCAGGTTTATACGACGACAAATCAATGAAAAATGGCAAGAGATTAAACCATACAAGTCATAGAAAACATCAGAGCTGGAAAGAAAAAGCAATAAATATAATAAGTGTGATTTTATGCCCCACAAACAACACATGGGAAGTGATTTTGAATCACTATGCCGTTGTAGTGTCGAGAAAACGAATCGCTATTCCGTGCAAAACTACTAATTTTCTTTGGCAATCTCGTGATCGAGATCAAAACTTTCTTGAAGCAGCGTTGCTGGCTGGTCCTGTGTGTGAGTCGTGGGTGAATATTATCGTCAACCAACAAGTTAGTGAAAGTTGACTAGGACAATGCCAGTAGGGTGAGTTCGGCTACAAAGCATAAAATTATCACGGAGGCACATTATGAAGGCTAGAGGTGAGTTTTTGACCTATTCTGGTCGCTATTTTGCTGTAAGTCTCCGAGTCATCAGACCCAGACTGCTCAAAATGTTATTAGAGAGGCAAATCAGGATTCGCTTGCATCTTCATCTTCATATCGTCATCGTCGGATTGATTATCGCGAGCACGATTACAAGTTTTCGTTAAACAAGTTCAGGATTAATGGTGTTCGGATGCTTGGTTGACATATTCTGAGGACTCAAGCGCGACTCAGCTAGCGCTCGTTGCTGTATCATTATGCTACTTTCCGTCCACATGTTCTGTATTGCTATCATGTTGAGTTTACGAGGCACCAGCCGAGCTTTTTCTGTGAGCTGCTGTTCAGCACATACTGTCCTCTTTCCATCCTCTCTGCTTGTTAAATCCTAAATTTTGCGCCGTAGCGTCAACTGTCAATAACACTTTTTTGCTTGATGTGGTTCTGTTCTTTTTGATTATACAGTGTCATTGGCATTTGAGATAGCTTGGCATTCCTTTTTGCTTGAAATCGAAAGCAACAAACCGCTAGTTGCAGGTAGTGAGTGCTAAGAGTAAAGTTTGCATCTTCAAGCGATTCAACAGATCAAAGTGCCGATACACTTGATTTGTTTGATCTCTCTGATGGTACTCAGAATAATGAGATTGCAGGTTACATATACGATTTAGTGCCAGCTACTGTTCCCGTCATGCAAAAACAGTGGATAAAGGTATGTAATTTGTCTAGCAATTACCATTTGAAGCACATCATGTTATAGTGTACGTATCGTATTGATTTAATAAGTACACAATTCACTATTGTCTGCAGCCAAAAAAGCTGCCATTAAATAAAGCACGTGGCCAAATATATCGCATATGCAAGGAAAATAGCAGTCAGGATGTTGACATTGGCGAAGAGGAAGAGGCAGGTGAAGTCGGAGCTACGAACGTCGAGGTTGTGATGGAAGGCGTGGCGCCTGATCCCTGGCGAGTCTTAAAGTAGCTTTCTAAATAGTGTAATCGCTGGGCATCGCTCACAAGCCGTTCCATGGACATCTGGAATATTTGGAACAATAAGTTTCAATTCAATCAAAGAGAACTGCAAATACTTACCATTTTAATATCGTCCAGCACAAAACGACGAATTGCCTCTGTTTCGCTCAAGTGAGATACTGACGCTTTTGGCGACGCTAGTGCAATTGTCTTGGACACGCGAGCACAATCACTATTTCTCTGACAAGGACTTGTATGATTACTATTCGTTAATTTCTTTCTGGAGAGCGAATGCTGCGGCGAGTTCGTCTTGAAAGCATTCAATCCACTCAACGAGTCAGAACGTTTGCAATATTGCTCTACCGTTTCAATGTTGCGGGCAACAAAATCAACCGAAGTTGCCCTGGTGCGGGTGTCGTGATGAATTATATGTCCGGCTTTACCTTTCGTTCCTTTGCTTTGATTGTTCCACAGACCATATTGAGGACTATACGTGACTTTCATGTCGCTGGTAATGCATGCATGTAACGAAGATGTGCGTTGCATCTTATGCCGCGTCATATGTCGAGATTGTTTAGAGACAGCGCCAGGAGACGGTTGTCGTGAGGCCGGGAGCGACTGACTGAAGTCAACATTTTGTGACCCGTGAGCTACAACCTTTTGTTGCTGGTCGACATCATGTCCAGCAGCGTCATTCCGATTCTGAAGAACGAGCTCAAGCTGGTTCACACGATCTTGCAATGCATCTTTCCAGTTTTCCTCCTCATCTTCGCCGTCCGCCCACTCTTCCATGGACTTGAGTTGCTATTGTATTCATGCACTCATTTAATGTCAGCCACATATCAACAACTCACAGATGCAACTCACCGCAAACTGGAGTCCCAACCTATCGTTGTTCCCGTATGCACTTGTACTTCCATCTAATGGCATTTCATCATTCCACAAGGCTTCATCGTCGTCATCCATTGCCACAGAAACCTCCGTGTTAGCGACGATTGACGCACTGTTATCACTCTCTTTCTCCAGCATTAATACTTGATCATGTTGCGTCTTTTGATCTCCAAAGATCGATCGAAACGTGCGATTGGCTCCAGCTTCTCCTGGCATGGCGTTGTCTGCTAGTTAACGAGGTAAGCGGTTGGAGGAGGTTCGAACGAGCTTTCTGTATCTTTCGTCGGACAGACTTACAGGTAACTAATTGAATGAAAAGCTGTCGATTTAAAGGCTCAGCATGCCTGTCGGGCCCTGTGTCCGTCCGTCTGTTTCTCTGATTGTCTGGCGCGTAAATTGATGCGGTGAGTCTCACTTTCCTCGGACTCTTCGATGAAAAATGGCGGCCCCCTGGCTCGAGTTTTAAGTAGATATTACAACCAATTGAGTGTCGGTGCAAGACAGATATTCAACAAATGAGGAAAAGAGATTTGCCCTATGGATAGTTTTAAGAGTAATCGCGCAGCGAAATTGTCGATTTACTGTAAAATTCGATTTCAAGCAAAAGTGCCCTAACCCTGCTTCACTCATTAGTCGCTTGTCACATAATGACCAAACCTTTGTCGGTTTCAATACGCAGGCCTCAAACTCTTGAAACACATAATAAGGAAAAGCATTTTGAGATGCAGCTGTGGCATCAATTCCAAAATTGAGGTTCATAGATGCAGCTACTCAATAGAAGGATACGATGAGAGTGCGGAGAGTATCGCTAAGACTCAGTCAGTATGGAAGTGCGTACTTTTTTTTTGATAGCACGAAGCAGGCCGTACGAGCATACATAAGTCACCATGTATCGTAAGGTATATAGCCGAACAAATGCGGAAGAGTAAGTGTGAGCCTTAAATAGAAATCGGACCTCTTGAGATGCGCTAACCATGGGAGGAAGATTGACGCAGCGGCAATAATTATTGCATCAAATAGCACGCAACTAAATCAGCAGCTGAGATATCAAATCAAATGCTTATTAGCGCTTCCAGGCGTACAACAGCAAATCTGACTAGCCTAGACGCATTAGATTGATGCAGCGGCAATGATTATTGCATCAAGAAACACGCAGCGTAATAAGAAGCTGAGATGTATAATCAAATGAGTTTTAGCGCTTCCAGACCTAGCGATCAGTTGGCGTTTCTGGCTTTGACACTTGCACCCTCCTTTGCACTAGTTGAGCACGTTCTCTACGGCAAGAAAACCGCGCCGCAAAACTCGCGACGACGTTTAGCTCAGTACCAATGCGCTAAACCTAAGCCAAGCTTATCCGCCAGCAAGCGCAGGATTCACATCGACTTTTGCAGGCCAATAATCTTTTGACTACCAAAATTTTGTCTCAAGGTGCCCGTCGCGCCACGGCGGAGATCTTTACAGGCCTATGCATGTGGGCTTTCTGCTTAAACGGAGAGCATGAAAGCGCTCAATGGTCGTTCTGCAACTTTCTGACCCTTCAGGCCATCCTATTTAAGAATTACTGCATCTCCTAGAGCAGCATTCACCGGATAAATTTAACCCTCAATGAGGATCATGACTTTGGTACTGAATGCTAGCGAATTGGTTAAAGAGAGTCTTGTGATTCGCGCAGCGGAAGAAGAGGGTACGTGCCCTCACACGTCCCACAGCTCTACAGGCCAGCCTTGATAAAGCTGAGTTCTGACTCGGGCGTCGTTTGATGCATGACTTTGCGAAGCACAATGCACGACGTGGAGATCCAGGATAACCTCAAATTATTGCTGTTCATTACTCTGCTTATCTTGGAAATGTTGCTGGTACCACGACCAGCCGATGTACTCTGCCGCTTCAAAAAGCTGTTTTAAGTCAGTAATGTTCTCACGCGGCGATTCAATATTATCACTGAGACTATAATATTCGAATACAGCATCCGAGAGCCGGCCGCTAGAGGGACACACTCTGCTGGCATTGTTCGGCGATTAGAAAAGGTCATTTCTCGTCGAATGAATAGCTGCCCGACGGGTCATCAAGACTGTAAGCGGTAGCTAATGGGGTTAAGAGAATCTTTCCTTTTAATATTTGAGAAACCACTCAGTTAAGATGGCCTTGGCAGCGATGAGAGTTGAGACTTGATATCCCCTTTGTTTAACGAGTGCATCGTCCGATACAAAGCAAATTTACAAACCAGTCGGACCTAACATTGCTCCAAGCTTGAGTTGAAACACTCAAGTATATATGGTCCGCATCGATACCTTTCATAAGATGGTCGCCTAGCTACAGGGGTTGGGTAAGAACTGTTATATTTGAGTGTTTCGATTTTGAATGATCTCAAGAAGGCGAGATATTGCTCTTAAGAGCCCGCGTGCAACAAAAAAGGGCTCATTTTTCTTCGAAATAATGGAGTTGTAGCTTAATTACTTTCTAGCTATGACCGATATCGTTTCGATGCGGCGAGATCGCAGCTTATTTTACAGACTGCAAACGCAAGTTGCTTTTGTAGATTGACTAACAGCATTAAGTAAATTCAATCCATGCCTTTATATAATAATGTGTTGTGTCCGCTTTTTTCATCTGCATGCTGCCTTTGCGCATAATAGCTCTAAATCATAGCATCGCAAACACGGGCACGTAAAACTAAAACTTGCTCCAAAATGTTGACTTGAGAATTTCTGCGAGTCGATTTTGAAAATAGCCCCCCCTTAACCAAGACGGAATCACCTAATGATGGTGTCAAGAAATCCGAAGGTAAACCAATCATTGTTAATTGTGCTGTAAGGTCGTTGCAACATGAACTGCCTAATTTAATGCAGATTGATGAGTGAGGCATACTGTTCCAAATCCTTAGTCGCAGGTATATTCTATACAATGCGATAATAGTGCGTTCTGACTGGGGATATCTCTTTTCGCGACGAGAAGTTTGGAGCGCCAATCTTATGTCTCTTGATTTGATTCTAGTTTGTCGAAAGCTCGCTGTAAAGCTCAAATCAGCCTAAAATTATGGCTATCGGTAAGCCGTGTTGTTATAAAGAGTTGTCAATGTAAGCTGCGTCTTGCTTGGATGGTGAAAAATGTAAGCAATTCTGATGCTAGCGGACGCATCAACTGGAAGACTAAAATTCGAGACACCACCAGCGAGCTTCCATTAAATGCCGGATCTGACAAACTGATCCGTGGCGCTGACGCGTGCTGTGAGAGTTTGACGCAATTTACAGGGGTCACATAAGTCTTATTTCTGAATAAAAATTGGCCCGCTCCGTACATTGAGCTCGCCGAGCCTCCCATCTTTCGAGACAACCAGCCAAGGGAGTATCATGTGTCGGGGTGCTAATCATGAGGGGCCACAGCATGTTGAGTGGTGGTGCATCAGCGCTGTACTACAAAATGCCAATGAATGACGTGTAGCGGTTCAAAGATGTAGCCAAATACCTCAAAAGCTAAATTTGAACTTGAAACACCCTGCTCTACAATGCTTTCAGCAGCGCAGTATATATTGCATCAATCCCGCGCGCTGTACTATCACCTCATCAATGTGCTACGCTATCATCGTGAACTTGTCTGTGTAAGGCGAAGAGCATCCGTCATCACATTTTGCCGACCGAATTTAAAATGTTTATGGTGAAGTGGTAAAAAACTTTGCGAGAAATAAGTTGACAATCTCGCTACGGATTGAAATCTATCGATCACATATGACTCTGATCTGAGCAGACGTACCCTGAATTTGTCACGCGTATACTTCATACGCATAACATCTTGTCATGAAATGTATTGCTCTTCTTTGACTGTTCAGCGGAGCAAAATTTGGGCGAGATGACGCGCTCATATCATCGGTATCGCTCGCAAAAAGGACAGCTTATGGCAAAAGTTGAAACGTCACAGATGATGCAGATGATGCGTTGTGGCTGATACCAATTGGGTCGGGATAGAATAGGCGCGTATAACGATTCTATCACAGCCTTGCACACCACTTTTCTGCAAAAGATTGGCACCTATTTTTTTAGACTTGGTTAAGGGGCGTGCCATGTCGGCTTATAGTTGGAGCAATACTTGTGCAAGCAGTTAACCAGACCAAGCCACTTCTTTCATTAAAGACTGGCAAGCTGACAATGGTCTGGACATCGCGGCTCTGACAGCAATCTATGGTCTCTATTAAAACACTACAGAAAAAAATTGTCAGCGCCAAAGTCAAACTTCACTGTGTTACCAAGCCGTTTTCTTAGAACATGCACCTAATCACTGCCCGCATATGTACAATGTCGATGATCACATCTAATTTTCCGTGCTCCGCATGAATCTGGCAAACATAACACCAAACGGTTTGTAATAAGCAATGATGTGATCTGAGTAGCCGCGGCATCATATGCTAGCTCGTCACCAGTTCGTGTTAGTGTTCTTTACAATCACCAGTGACTTTTAGAGCATCTTCCGCGTGAATTTCATCGCACCGAGAGGAGTATCGCTGCCTCTCATTGTCAGCTGATAATACGAATCAACCCGGTTGAGGGCATTAGACAAAGTGTGGTCAATCATGCTGTTTGGTCGCACGTCCTTTGTACTTTTTGACTTTAGCGCCGTTATAGCGCCTGCATCTAGCGTGGGCAATTTGCCACAACCATTTAGTATACTTGACACCAATATTTAGCACCAAGTGTGTGGAATCACTTCCTTCCACGATTTTACATCGTGCATTGCTTTAAAAAACTTTTAGAAAGCTATACTATTTCTTTGGTAACGATATTTATCTTTTTCCGCAATATTTTCGAACCGACGACGCAAGCTTCGACCCGGTGGCAGCCACGCGTAGTGGAACGATCGTCACCACGTTGTCATATTCCTTTTGCAAAGAAAAATGGAATAGGAAGCATGCTTATAGAAAGCCGTCCTACTCTTCGCACTCAGTGATCGATTAGTGCATTATAAGGAATATCAAGACCAGCCTCTTTATCTGTAATAACCGTACAACTTTGGTGAGTCCACCAGCTTGCCGCTATTATGCTAACCTTCCTTTCTTTCATTAATTCCATTCGGAGGTTTTGGATGCGGTAATGAGGAATTACTTACATCCCCTGCATTATCCCGTTACTTCATTCAGAAGTGATCAACTTTCACGCCACATAACAATAGAAATTTAGTTCCCAATAATAATCGTGTTGCACAGCAGTGTTAACTCAGCTGTACTGTTACATCGTAACAAAGATGACTATCCGGGTAAAGTTCAAGAACTGGCGCTTCTACTAGCTGCCCATTTCCGCCGACTATAGCTCTTATTCAGAAGGCCACAGCTTAAAGCTCTTATCAAACACCCCATTAAAGACAAGATCGGGGGACTATGAATCAGCAGAGATACATTCTGAAGACCGCGGTACACAATCGCCAGTACCTGTTAGTTCGTGCCTCAGAGCTACTTTTGGCTTCGAGATTCATTCAGCAGAGCCAGTAATTCCAGACCGTTCTGTGTCTCACACCGACATTATAGCAGCTTGATGCCTGTGTCAAATGCGCTCTGCTTTCAAGTATAGATGAAGTATGAACCCACAAAGCTTTGCTTAACGAGAAGTGCACCGAGACCCTGAGCCTAAATGACTTCCAAAGAATTCATGGCTCATGGCATTTAAGCCCCTACCTACATAGGAGGCACTACCGCGAGTGAAATTCAAGGACGAGGCGATGGCCCACGCGTTAAAACCCTCATATTCTATTTGATGGCTCAACAGAACCTTTGCCACTTTTACTAGAGTATTGTCATTCGACGCACGAATTTTCTATCCCTATCGAGCAACTTTAAAGTCTCTGCGAAGTATCAACTGTTTTCGACAAACGCGCGATACCTAATACTATCAGTCCACGGCTTCACAAAGACTGGGACGTTAATCAACAAGAACCGTGAGCCGTAAGCCACCCTCATTAAAGAAAGTCACTACCTTGAGGGCTGGGTTCTTTGACTACAACCCATCAACGAAATTAGATACAGATCAATAAAATTTCCTGCTGAACCGCCTTGTGTCTGCAGAATTTTACAAGTTTCCCGTTTAGTGTACGTTGGTTGGTTCCGCTTGGGAGCTCGACAATTACTAATTTTCAATTGAAAGATCTTTAGGTTCCACGGCGCTGCTCAGGAGCTAGGATATCGCTCTCTTTCTCCTCAGCATATCTGTGATTCAACGTCTCTGACGCGCTCAGATCGTCTGCTCTTTTCATGCTATACCCGGATCTCGCGGGAACGCAGATGGTCTCAATACGAGCCGCACCTGTTCAGAAAATTTCCACAATACTACAGTGCATTTAGCTAAAGTTACCATCACAAAGAGAAATAATTGGATAAGATAAGCGAAGTCGTGGTTCAACGGAGGACAATACAGCCACAATAATAACAATTGGCGACCAGCATCACACGTAGTGACATATATTTGGCATGCGACTTGCATAAAGGAAGTATCTCGCTTTTTTCATAGTTTCATTAAGTTGACCACTCAAAATAATGTTTTTTGAAAACAGTACAACGTTTTAAGTACTTTCAAGATGCCTCGAGTGGCATTTGATTTTGAGTTTCTAAATGAGAAAAACAAATTGTGAAATTAGTCGCAGCTATTATAATGTTTAGCGCCGGTCCTTTAGGGCAAGACCATAGGCCGGCATGTCAAGTGTCCATCATAATGTTCTACCACTTGACGCGCAGCTCATTGGGGAACGCGGTGATGAAGTCTAGCCACTTCTCAACATTCGGATACTTTTTCAAAATGTCCTTCCCGACGACCTTAACACGCTCAAACACCACAGTGTCCTCCTTAGATGGAGCCGATCCATTTACAAACGTGGACACCGCTAAACGTTTCTCAAGCACGTCCAGAGCAACTGAGCCTGTACCGGAGAGAAGCGCAGCAGAGCTATTCGCCGATACAGCTTGTGCAACCTGTTCGTCTGGCTTCATTGCAGGGAAAAGAAGCACCTCCTTGATGTTGAAGCGGTTAGTCAGGAACATTGTGATACGGTCAATGCCACATCCCCAGCCGGCAGTAGGAGGCAGACCGTATTCCATGGCCGTGCAAAACGACTCGTCGTGCGGCTGAGCTTCATCGTCACCGGCTGCAGCCTGTTCCATCTGCTCAATGAACCGCTCACGCTGTACTTTAGGATTGTTCAGCTCCGTGTAAGCGTTACAGATTTCAGCACCAGCTAGAAAAAGCTCAAAACGCTCTGTTAGCGCAGGTTTTTCACGATGGTACTTGGCAAGCGGCGAGTTGTACACGGGCTGGTCCATGATAAAAAAGGGCTTGGTCCAATAGGCCTTATTGTCCTCTATGAAGTGACCCACAAGCTTGTCAAGTAAACGCGCGATCGAGCGAGGTGGAGCGCATTCAAGCTCGTACTTGAGAACTAGCTGTTCGAGAATTTCCTGGCACTTCTCAGGCTCATCAATAGGAATCTTAACACCTGTTGCCTCCTCAACAGCCGAGACCATGCTGACCCGCTTGAACGGTGGTGTAAAATCAATCGTCACGGGATCCTCGTCCGGCTCTTTATTAATCGTTATCGTGTAACCACCCGTAATTTCCTTGACCATTTCGGAGAAAAGTCTTTCCGTCATGGTCATGAGGTCATTGTAGTCAGCATATGCCATGTAAAACTCACAACTAGTAAATTCGGGATTGTGGGTCAAGTCAATGCCTTCATTACGAAATTGTCGTCCGATTTCATAGACACGGTCGAGTCCACCAATAATCAACTGTTTTAGATACAGCTCGGGAGCTACACGCATGAAAAGGTTCATGTGCAGGTCATTATGATACGTCACGAAAGGTTTGGCCGTCGCGCCACCCACGATCATGTTCATCATAGGAGTCTCGACTTCTAAGAACTGCTTGTCATCCAGAAAACGACGAATAAAATTGATTATTTTGGCTCGTGTCTGAAACACTTCGCGCGAGTCGTCATTCATGATCAGGTCCAGGTATCGCTGGCGATAGCGTGTATCTTGTTGCAATGTAAGCCCAGCATGGCTCTTTGGCAGCATGTGCATGCACGGCGAAAGGAGAACAAGTTGTTGTGGAAAGATTGATAGCTCGCCTTTTCTTGATTTACCAGGATAGCCCTTGACACCTACTATGTCCCCACGTCGTAAGATACTATGAATATGAGCAAAAGACTCGGCACTCTCATAAGTCCCCACGTCCGACATTATCTGCAGCTTCTTTCCATCTGCACGCAAATCGTAAAAGACGAGCTTCGATCCTGATGAACGCTTACTATGCAGGCGGCCAGCTACCGACACAACGACGTCTTTGAGATGGCTACCAGCTTCTAGATTTCCAAACTGAGTGTGAAACTCAGGGAGCGATAAAGTCACATGAAACTTGTGTGGATATGGGTTGATTCCTTGCTTTTCGAGCTCAACAAGTGTTTTTTCGCGATTAGCGAAATACGCAGTCGGGTCCAGCTCCTCATCGTCATTTGCTGCAGCTTTTGTGGGTTTGGTCGCTGCTTCAGTTGCTTTTTTCGCAGCTTTCTCAGCCTTCGCTTTAGCCGCCTTTTCAGCCTTAAGTCGACGTTTTAGCTCGTTCTTGCTGATTGAACCTGCGGGATTATCAGTGGGTGGGGAAGCGTCTACAGGAGTGCTCATTCTTCCGAATCGTTCGAGGTTTATGGGTTGGTTTGGATTGTAATAAGCATTTCATTGGCTAAGACGCATTATATCAATTAGTGGCAAATTATAATTTAGGTTTAGAAATTCACACAAGCTTCATCGGAGAATTCTACCTATTGTATTCTGTCTGGATATACCTCCTACCTGTTTGGTGGTTTATTGAAATTTGGTCCAAACGATACCGGTATCGATAAATAATATAAACAATACTTACCGATATGTCTTGAATATGTTTTGATGATCCTTTGTATGTTTGTTTCCTCAATGCCGACAATTTGATGATAACACTATGAATACGCTCGATCTCTCGTGGCGATTGAATCATTTATCCGATCTAAACTTTTGTAGCATACAAACGAGCAAGTTTCCACATTTCAGCTCTTGTTATTTCTACCCGTTCAAATGCTATACCAAAAATCCATAGGGAGCTAGCTATATAGAGAGTCTCTCAAGGAATATAGTACTTTTGCTTTTAGTTGTTTTCAAGAGTGATATATTGTGTGCTTTCATTTCACGAGGAAGTAATGCAATAACAATGCATTAGCTTTCCAGATCACTCGTCATTCGTTGCACCTGCTGCAAGCGGAGTGTGGTTCAAATTTGCTGGTGCTTTCTTCATCACGTTACTCTACTCTCGTTATCGAAGCCGAGTCTTCGGTCCAGCTGGAGTTTGTGAAGTGTATTCACGCAAGATGGTTTTTTGAGTCGTGGAGTGATTTCGTATTTGTTCCATTTTGGTACTTTTGTATTTATCGCAATAAATGCCTTTTCCAAGCCTACGATTGCGTGCAAAGGAATTAAAAATGAAATGAAATGCATGATATCGATGCATGACAAAAATTGATTTGCGTGTGGATATATTCTGTTGCTTTTTTGATGGACTTGATATTCACATTTACGTTTGGAAATTTGAGAGTTTGATAGTGAAGATGATGCAGAAAATATATCGCTGACTTTGGATTGCTAGAACAAACAATTTTATGATTTGATTTACAGTTTGGAAGGTCTGACAATCAAGGAAAAGGACAGAAATGTCCAAACAAAACTCAACTTTGTCACGCATAGATAAAACAACGAAATTCGTTTCAAGAGCAACTCTGCAAAGCTGTTCGTTGATTACACCAACATAGACCGCGGAATGTGCTATTGATTGTTACTTTATCTCGGTCTGCTCAATTGGTAAGTTTTGTCAACAGCACATATGAATATCGATTCAAGTTTAAATGGAAATCGG